TCTGGGCCCACTGTTCTACAGCTCTGTGGTTCTCTGGCCTCTACAGCTCTACTTCTCTATGGCTCCACGGCTCAACTACTCTACGGCTCTTGGGCTCTAGGACTCTACGGCTCTATTGCTGTACTGCTCTACACCTTTATGGCTCTCTAGGCCCTACGGCTCTACAGCTCTATGGCTCTACGCATCTACGGCTCTACGACTCCAAGGCTCTACAGCTCAAAGTCTCCACGTCCCTACAGCTCCAAGCCCCTGTAGATGAACTCTACGCCTCTACCATCACAACTTTTCTTACAAACCAGATATTTGTGAAATATGTGGTGGTGTTAACCTATTATTGTTTTTGTCAGAAAGTGTAATATATTGTCATAGTAATGTTGCAAACAAAATGAAAGTATACTGTCTTAGTAAAGTACTGAAAGAAATCAAAATATACCTTTGTAATAAGGTACTGAAATAAATTTTAATATACGGTCTTACTATCATACTGAACATAAGTAAAATGTATGGCCGTAGTAATGTATGAAAGTAAGTAGAACCTACAAAAATTTCATGATTTATAACAAAATCCACCTTAAGTGCATGCTTGGCACACATCTTCTCCTTGTTCCTTGGGTTTGGTTTCTGTACCAGACAGAACTGAGGCAGCTGTCTACGTAGAAGTTGTAGCACATCATTCTTGCAACAGCACTTCCATATTCTTCTGTCGATATTGTTTGCTGTCTTTCATAAGGCACATCTGGAGCAGCTTGGGGAAGAGGCATCGTCAAAAAAGAGAACAGTCATTCCGTACCCCACGAGGGATGTCCCAGCAAATTTGGTGCTGCAGTTGAAAACTACTCTGATTTCCTCAGGTTTAATAGGATGATACACACCATCATGGGAGATGCTCCAAACTTTACTGAGATCTGCCTCCAGGCTTAATTGAGGAACCTCCTCTGCATAACCTTTGTTGATTATGTTGTTGATCAAGGCTACATAATTTATTGTACCAGTAATTTTTTGCCAGAGCATTCCCTTGATGACTTGTTCTTGGTTGTTCATTAGATTCACTT